GTCTTGCCATTTGGCCTCTGTCCCCCTTTCTCTGCTCATATCTAGCTATCTGCCTGCTCTAACAAGAAGATCTGAAACCTCACGTTCCTGAAGGGGCGAGGAGACCCAGAAAAGGGAGAAAGTACAGAGAGGAGAAAAAGATACCCATAGATAAGTGCAATTTCAATTTATAATTTAGCAGAATTATAGTAGAAATTTAATTTGGTTGTTTCTAGCCTTTAACAACACACTCATTTTTTTTTAATCAAGGAACCCATGCTCTATCACAATAGAATAAAATCTTACTGCTTTTCTCTCAAAGACCATGTTTAAGTTTTATTTAGGATTATTTGTATAACTCACAAGTTAAATTTAAGGACATAAGAAAATTATGGCAATATTTGGGAGAAAAATGTACTGAGAAATCTCAGTTGTAATTAGCAAATGCAATATCTCAAGGAAACCAATTCCACATCCCACCAGTTGAAAACAACTATCTGTAAATAAATAATTAGAGTTTCTAAAGAATACATATTTTAATATATTCACCTGCATGTAATTTCCTTGTAAAAAAATTAAATGACAATATCTACCAAGGAAATATGAAGACTTTCCCATTTGCCATGCAAGCATTTGAAGCAGATTTGTTTCAGATTGAATACTCCCCTACTAAGAGGTCAAACTTTATTTTAACGAACTATTAACTTAATGGGGCCCAGTTTTCTCAGATGTAAATTGTTGAATGTGGAGTGAGTCTCTTCCAGTTTGAAAAGTCAATTAATTTATTTATCATGAAGACATTATACAGATATGTTTTATGAACACTTGTGGTCATTTGAAAGTAAGATAAATTTTACGTAATGGTACTCAGCAGAAAGGTTTTTGAAAACTTTTTGGCTTAAGCATACTCTACTAGAATTACAGTACTGTAAGAATTCACAATTACTAGAATGCAAAAGAGAAAAGTAAATTTTCTCTCTTATCAGTACATATGTACATACCAAAGAATAATTAATAACAGTTGTTACAGTGCTTGACATTTTACAACTAGAATTTGACCCAGAATTTCCAATTTTGGAGATCTAGCCTATGGATATAGCAACATACATATGCAGGGTTGTTTAATGCACCCGTGTGTGTGAAAGTCAAAAATTGGCAACAGATTAAATACCTATTAAAGTGGAATATTTAAATAAGGGTATAAGGAGGTAGACCTATGAATGCAGAATGTGTTAATGTAGACAAACCTCCACAACACATTACTAAATGAGGAGGGCAAGGTGAAAAGTCATATTTACATTGCAATCTCATTTATAAAAATAAAATGAAATGAAAAGAATATATATCTGTGTGTATATGTATGTGTGTACATATGTGTGTGTGTGTGTGTGTGTGTGTACATATATATAACAAGTATACACCTATTTGCTGGCGTCTACCTAACAGTGTTTTCCTGAAAAGCTATGAACTTCACTGTTTCCCTAGGTTGACACAGGTTGCTTTTGGGGGGAGAGAGTAGAATTGGCTGACTTCTTCAGAGTTTATGTGTCTAAATAAATGTTGAGCCTTATGTATGTTTCAAGGCCAGTGCAGCCTTTATAACAGGATCAGAGAATGAGGGAAAAAGAAAATTGAACTCTGCATCAGTTTATAAATACAATGCTCTGAAATAAAATTGTACTTAACCCGAACTGAAAATGTGATAAAAATAATGCTCTCTTTCAAGCAGAGATTTTTCTCAGAAAAAAAATGATAATTGAACCCGACAAAAGCTGTCAATATAAGCATTTACGTTAATGATCTAAAAGAATAACGTAGCAATCTCTGATGCAGAAATAATCATTGACAAAGATTAGCCTCTATTTATGTCTAGAAAAAGCCTCGTAAAAATAGTAGTGAAAGGGTACAGAATTCTTTGTGGAAAGCAGCAAGTTATGCATTTGTAATGGTCTACTATGCAGAAGCCAAAAACAAAGAACCAAAATTTACATACAGCAAAATAGATGTGCATGAAAGAGACGTACTCCATACGACTTCTGTGATCTGTCTCACACACAGACAACAACACCAGTGTTTCCCGGGGCCAAATGTATATATGGTGTCAGGTGTCTGAAAGGGCTTAAAGTAAGTATATTAGAGAGAGTCCAAAGGGCAAGAGGGGATAACATTGTAGACATAGGTTAAAGGAGGCAAATAAGAAAATAAACAAAAGAAAAGAAAAGGAGCTCTGCCTTGACCAATGGTGATATAATGTCATGAACTGACAAGTATGATCAAAGAGATTCTCTACACTAATCCAAAATAAATAAGTTAGGTAAAAAAAGGTAGCTTATACCTGTACCCAGCATTGGCTGCCAAAAAAATCTCTGAAAGCTTGTTTTTTTTCTTTTTCTTTTTTTCCTGGACTAAATGTGGGTTCAAGAGCAGGGACACAGCCCGAGTCTTGCACAGAGGCCTGCACATACCACTTCTGAGACCACTTAGCCATTCTACATCTTCGATTTCTTAGTCTGAAAAATAAGACAGTAATATCTACCTCCCCAGGTTTCGTATAGCATCAGTAAGATCATTTATGTCTGCAGGATAGTATGAATGCCTGGTACATCGTAAGTGTTTTAAGACATACCCACTCTCTTCCCTCCAACCCCACAACCTCCTAGTGATTTCATAGTTAATACACTTCCTGTTGGAAGGAATTCTTAGGAAAGACTGCACCTACTTCTGAAAGCTGTTACTCCGTTTATAGTCACTGAATTTTTCAGAAAATCTTCCAGTCTTCAGCCCTCGCTCTAAATAACAGAACCTGTGATAAAGCTACTTAGGATGGCTAATAGAGCCAGTCAAAAAGAGGGAAGAAAGCAGAAACATTATACGTGAAGAACTGCACATTAGCTTATTCGGTCTGCAGAACCTCATGAGCAATGTTTGATGGAACTATTAGTTCTGTCATAGGAAAAGGCTGATAAATGTTTATGCAGCTTCATTTTAGCCTTGCAGACTTAGCAAGTATATTATTGTCTATATATTTGTTACAATTAACGATGGTACTGCTATTTTCTTCCGTAATTAGAGCATTTATTGGGAGATTTCCCGCTGTTTGACTGATGCGCTTCATCCTCTCTACTCTTTCCCTGCTGTGTCCCCACAGTTATGACGCTCAAAATTGATAGAGTTTAGATTCTTCTTGCTGCTGGTTTACATTTCTACTTACTGCTTATTCGTAGGATAAGAATAAGAGAGTTCTGCATTGGAGGGAGCTTTTGCATAGATGATTAGCAACAGTGCTCTGAGAACAACCACTTAGCTTTTGGTAACATTGGTTGATTCCAATAAGGCGTATGTACTACTGCTTAACTTCACGAATGGGTCTCCTTGATGAGAAGTGTTGACTGCATGATAACAGTTGAAGGAATGTTTCATCAGGAGACAAATTCAAGGTTTACGAGCCTGGGGTTACGTGCAATGTTCTGTGAGTGTTCATCAATTAGAATATTGTGTTCCGTTCTTGGGACTCTGGTGGGTATTCTGGATTTAGAATATGAGGATAGAACAGACCTAGATCCTCTCTCTCTCTCTTTTTTTTTTTTTTATTCACTGCCAAGACTAAATGAAAGTGAAGATTTGACTAGGCTGGGCTATTACTGCTACAGCGTTGCTTGGCACCCAGTGCGCCTTAGGAAATAGAGGTGTTGTGCAAACAGTTGTCATGAGTTTATTTTCTGTTTCAATACCTGATGAGAAAATGTGCTGTCAGTTAAAGAAATGCTGTGGGAATAATGATCGTTCAAGAAGTCTTCAAACTGGGCTACAGGTATTTAATTTAAAAGCAAACAGTATATTTCAAGAGTTTGTATGTCCTTCTGACATGAAATATCATTCAAGCAGAGTGATAAAGCATGGTTTGTAACTTAGGGGTTTTAAAACAGTTTCTTTTAAAAGCCAACTGAAGAGAAAGTGTTGAATCTCCGTGCAGAACAGCAGGTCCTCTTACAGCGTTTCACTCTGAACAGTTTGTCATCGTTCCACCTGAGGGCAGGCAGGAAAAATAATGCTGAGTTTAACTCACACCATTCCCTTTTGCTTTGTTAGAACTGATTAGAGCCTTTTACCAGCTCTCCAGGTGTCATTTGTCAATGTAAGACGGCATTTTGGTACTGCTGGCCAATCTCAGAGTTTTTGGTTGGTTGCTTAGTAAGTGGGCTGGTTGATGGGTGTTACTTTTCTCTTCCCACTGCTCGGATTTTACATATGACTTGATTGCAAATTTGTAAGCACAGATGAATATAGAAGACTTTGAAATGCCTTACGTTTCTTATTTTTAGAAGACTTTTGCTTTATTTTTATTTTTGTTTTCCATTGTTTTAATTTCCTTTTCGAGCCCTTCTTTTTTCTGGTTGCTATAGGTAACTGGATATGATAAAAAAAAAGTCATATTTGATTTATAAGCTAAACTATTAAGGTAAGAAGGACCCTAGACATTAGTCAGTCTTACATTTTACAAATGGGGAATCAGACCCTCGGGGAAGGGAAATGATTTACCCTGGGCACTGCAGCTGCTAAGTGGCAGATCTACATTCAAAATCTGCTCTCTGGACTTGCAGAAGAAGTCTTTTCCCTCTGTATCAACCCCATTTGTTCTATTTCGAACGTATATAATGACATTGAGCAGACCCTGACAACAAACCCTTCGTGCAGACGTAATTTCCTGAACTTGCTGGTTGATGACTTCAAGTGTTTGACAGTGCATGTGACAGTATAATTTATCCTGTGACTGCACAGACGACATCCTGTGAATACTACTTGATGCCTCCATAAAACCATCCTGAAAGGATTGTTGCTGTTTCTGGATCCACAGCTTCCATAGTCTTCCACTGAAATATACCTGAAGATGTCATTCTCACATTTAAAAAGACAAATGCCAGATACGGTAACACAGTTATAATTGCTAATTATAGTATCAGTGTGACGCTTTTTTCCCGTCACCACTGCGCTTATCTGTATATTCTGTTTTGCTATTCTAGGTTTGTGTGCTGGAGAGGCAAATCTTTGACTTCCTTGGATACCAGTGGGCACCTATCCTGGCAAATTTTGTACATATTATAATCGTCATTCTTGGTTTATTTGGAACTATTCAATACAGACCTCGTTACATAACAGGAGTAAGTACCCTTCTTGCCTCTTAAAGATTTTACTGAAATAGAGAAAGATGTGCAAACTACAAATGTCTCGAACAATCATATGTATACCTTCTCCTTAGAATATCATGTATTTGTTTACGTAGTTTCGGATTGTATCTACAGTAATCAAGAATCTCAAGTGTAAAACACTTGGCAGTGAATGTAATCAGATTGCATTTTCATAAATTGCATTTTTGGCAAATATTTGCTTGTACTCACAAAGAGAACTCTGCCCCTAAATGTATAAATTATAAAGTCATGGCTTCTGATTTAACAAATTTTAATGGGACTTGTTCCCATTTTAAATAACTATATTTTATAAATTGAATAAAAGTAGTTTAAAATTGATACAAATGAACATACAGTATTGCTGTGAAAATGTTAGTACATGTTAGAGTTAATATTTGACATACTTGAAAGCCAGAATAGTCAGGACCATAGTCTCTGTGTTCTCCATAATTCTCTTTTTGGCTCAGAGAAAGAATTTTGCATTCCCACTCAAGTTAAACTTACTTAACATAAAAGTGAAATCCAACTGTGTTACAGTTGCTATGGGAACCATAACTTAGGATGGTTTTTTTTTTTTTTGCTTTCGTATATGCCTCAGATCTCAGCTATAGCTCTTCATTAATGTAGTTTTTTTTTAGTTTCATCATTTTTTTTCTATTTCTTCTATTTTTGTCAAAGGAAAAAACTATAGGCATTTATTTAAAATTATAAAGCAAGTTTGTGGTAAAGGCGTTTTTATAAGATTGTGCAGCTAAATAGCCGCCTTATTCGACACAAACCAGCAGGCTTTCTCGGATTTCACGAAGGCCTCCTCCACATAAAAGGTGCCCTCTTATGACCTGTTCTCCCTGTCATCTGGAACCCAGATAAAGCTCGCTGATGCTGAAACAGGCAACGTGGTGGCAGCTGGGACCAAGGGGTCCACTGTCTGGCTAAGCTGAGCGAGAAACCCATGGTTTTCTCCTCTGGGTGCATTCCCAGAAATCAGTGTACGTCACCTCTAAGGGTATGTTCTCATGTAAATCTTAATCTTTTTTACGAGGCTACAAGTAGGATGTGTTCTTTTGCAGAGTGAAGTTTTCCAATGCCTAAGATAAGATGGTAGTGTTCGTTTTCTTTTATAAATTGTGATTTGAACCAGTATAAGAAAGGTAATAACAGTGCTTGGGAGTGGGTTTTCTGAAATCATACCAAGGGTGAAATCTTTCATCTACCAAATCCTCTGTGACTTGGGATAGCATAACCTTAGTTTTCCTACGTTTAAAATGAAAGTAATAATTATATTAACTCATATGCTTTAATTGATTGGAACACTATAAACCATTACGTGAAAGATTTTACCTTTCTTCTTTCCTTTGGCTTTGAGGCTCCTTCGTGATTTGATTCTTATAAATAATATTGCTCTGAATATTATCATATAAATATGTGTCATCTCCACTTCTGATGAAGTCCTGGGATAAAAATCTAGATGTGGATCAAAATGTTTGAACATTTTAAAAACTCGAAGTTGTGTTTTTTTTCTGTCGTTTTTTGTTTTTGAGGAGTAAGTGGGATATTCTATAAAAATGTTCTTAGCACAATCCTTGATTTTTAAAAAGTGTTCAGTAAATGATAGCTATAATATTTTCCTGCTTATTGTTTTCATTATCATTTGAAAATAATACTGAACTGAATAGACTAGTAATAGGCTGAGAGGCAATTTAAAATACACCATGGTATTCTAAGCTGTTAGTTGAACTCCTTCTGCCCCTTTTATTTGCAGCTGCTCTAGCTCTCAGAAACTTTTGTGGGATTTCTGTGTGCCAAATTATAATCCCATCCCCTTAAATAAAATACATACCCACAAAACTTTTCCAGGCTGGACACTCTCTCTAGTATTACATTAGAGTTAGGATGCCATGAGACACCTTTAAGATTGTTAGAATTTTTGTATAACTGAGAGAATCTCTGAAATCTTTCTAAGGTCTTAACAGCGTGTCTTCGAGCCACTTATTTGATTTGATCTTGGTTTGCAGACAGCACTCTGACTTTGATCTTTTCTTTGAGACAATGTCTAACTTGGAAAATCTTTTGCCAGCTAGAGATGCTGTAAACGTGAAACTTGCATTTTCCAACATATCAAGTCCTAAGTTAGCAGGATAGCCTCTAAATTCGAAAATGGAATTATTCTTTCTTTAGTTCATCTCTCTTGTGATATGTTATCTGTGGCTAAAAGAGGACAAATAACACTGTCAACTGTTTGCTTGGAAATCCCCTTAGCCAGGTCCACAAGCTTACAGGCGTATTTTCTACCTTCCCAGTTACTGCAAGCAATAGTTAAGCTAATTGTTCCAACAGTGATTATCGTGAGTCCTCTTCCCTCCCTCAAAGCCAGCTTCTTTACTGCTCTTCCTGTCTTCACTGATAGTCTTCTTGCTGCCCTTCTGGACTCTAGCTGCCACTTTGTCTCAGAATCGATGCTGCGTGTTCTAGGTTTGTGTTATAGACCACTCAGATTCTGTTCTAGTTAATCTATTTCTGTGCAGTTTCTGTATAACAAACCATTTCTATATAATAAAATTTATGGAATCTAATGGCATGACACCATGTTGGAAATCAAAAGGGCATTCAGGAAAATAGAGAATTTGCCATAAGAATGGAATTTAGATTTTTCAGTTTGCCTAAAGGTGGCAAAAGGAATTACAATGAAAAGAAACTTGAATGGGATCAGAGATGACAGAAATTTTGGTCAATGAAGGATCTGGGTTTAGAGGGAAAGCACATCATTGGGGACGAGCTGTAACTAACACTGTGCTGCTGCAGATAAGAAGTGTCCACGGGCACTCTGTACACTGGAGACTTAGGTACTAACAACGAAATTTACTTTCCTCTCCCCTGAAAATGTAGACTTTTATGATTTCTCTATTTGTCATTTTATATTGCAATATAAAACAATTTGGTGTAAAAATAGAGATATGCAAACACTCATAATTTCCCAACTGAAACTTAGTTATTGATATTTTTGCATATTTCCTTCATGTATGTGCCAACTGAAACATTTCTGATTATTACATCTTAAACATGTGTCTATTTAATGTGATAGCTAACAATTTTGAAGTTCATATGGCTATTTCATTGTTCATTTAACCTTTTACACTACTGTTATATATTATACCATATAACAAAACATATAATACATATTATGGAGTGTTATATGTTATTATATATTATACTATTTCCATGTTTTTATAAAAAATATTTCCCGGTAATCATTGCCATAAAAAATACTATCATCTTCATTTTGGTTTAATTCCTTAGAAGAAATACCTAGGTATAACTAAGTGATATGAATAATTTTAAGCCTTATAGTATATAATTGATAATTACCTATTCAAAATCATTTTACTGAATTAGCCTCTCACCAATGTACAGCAGAGTCTACTTCACTACACTCTTGCTAATCTTTTTCTTACTAACCTGTTTTCATATTTTTTTAATCTGCTTGGAGAAAAAAATGTCATTTTTTTGAATTGAATTTCTTCTCTTTATTGAGTTGGACTTTTTCATATGTTCATTAACCATTTTTATTTCCTTTTTGAGGGATTCTCATTTGGTATTCTCCACTCATTTTTTCCCCCAGAGTCTTAGCATTTATCATAACGATTTTTATATATGGATCACACAGTAAAGATATTTACCCTTTAAATATCATTAATTTTCATTTTGATTTTTATTATTTTTCTCTTATTAAAATTAACTCCTTTTCCCTTTATGATATCTTCTGTTGTTTTAAATGTCATTTTGAAAAGCATAACTCCTCATTATCTTTAGGTTTAATTTTGTTAAAACCAAAAGGCAGATGCCCCGAAATAGAGTCTAAGGAAAAAGTGTCCCTTTCTATACTTGCTATTTGTAAAGAGTTTCAATTTACTGATGGGATATTTTACTCTATTTAATCGAAAATAGCCTCCCCACCAACAATGCATGTGGGCATCCTTTGAAAAACTGCCACAGAAACAACAAATAAAATTTAAAGAGTATTGATAACGAGTTTTGTTTCCTTTACTAATCTTCTCTTTCATAAGAGCAAAGAAGAAATATTTAAAAATTTAAAACAGTTAATTGGAACAAGAACTCATTAGTATCCTTTGAGGGCCTCTGGCATTTCAAGGAATATAATATGTTGAAGGAAAGTTAAATAGATGATTTTAGTTCCAAGCAAAGGAAATCTGGGGCAAAAATCCATAGAAAGCTTCTGTATTGTATAATTCTCTATAGCATCAAGAGTCCCAAAGAAAAGGCCAGATTAACTCTGGTGAAATAATTCATAAGTAAATACATACAAATGGCTCCCATGAAAGCATTACCTTATGTCATAAATGGAATTGCCCAATTCATCTTCATTTGGGCTAAAGATACTGGCAAGGAGAATATGATTTGAGATATCCAGTGGTTATTAGTTAATGACACACACACACACAAAACCTTAATGAGTTGTACTGCTTTAAATTGCCTAAAAATAATCTGAAGAGTGAAAAGGTTTCTCACTGCTAAAAGCACAGCAGGTTTTTGGTGATATTGCTGCAGGACATGTTGCCATAACTCATAATTTTCTTTTTCTGTTTTTTCTTCCCTCCCTCCCTCTGGCCTCCCTCCCTCCTTTCCTTTGTTTCTCTCTATTTAACCAAGTTATTTTGAAAGAAAAAAAGAATACCTTCTAGCTGGGACCAAATGGCTTGATCAGTGAAACCCAATCCCAAAACTAGAAATAAATTCAAAATAGGTGAGAATCCATCACTCAGAGTTCATAAAAACAGAGAAAATGACAGCATACCAAAATCACAGTAGTTTTTATAAGAATCATATTTCTTTTTTTTTCTTGCCACTTTAGTGACCCTCCACAGATGCTACTAGATACTTTTCCTCTACAAGCTTTATATACCTCACACTAACTTCAAACTTTTGTCCAAACTCATATGACCAGGAACCACCAC